TACTGCAGTCACAGGCACAAATCTTTAGCAGGAAATGTTCTAGTCCAGTAAATTTATGTTTTTCACCTAATTTAGGTGTAACAATCAGTGTAAGTAGAGCCTTCTAATATGATTTTCAGTGATACAACTGCAATGGGGTAGCCCTACTTTTAGGCTGATCCTACAGTTCCCTCATCCATGCCTTCCATTTATACTCATTTCTTAAATAGGAATCATAAAAACATATTTACTAGAAATTTTTCATCATCTATCTTCTAGAAGTTCATAGAAATATCCTTTTTTATCTACAAATATATAAGTGAGCTATGTTTGATGCCATATTTATCGTCTAAATTTCCTTTCCAATCTTCTTCACATGACAGCTTGCTACTGCATGCTTGTGGAGCATGAGATACCTGAACTTCCAGCTAACAACTATTATGTATTTTAACATGAATGGGTTTGAGCTCTTGTCTTACAGATGTTTTTTTCCAGCTGTTCCTCAAGTCATGGTTAACTTAATAGTGCAAATTTACATTAATTACTAGCCTACTACCTGATTTTTCTCCAGAATGTTCCTTATAAAATCCCAGGGAGAAATAAGTCTACTACGCCCTCATAATGTTTTCTGATTTGGACAAAAATATATGCAAACAGGGATTTGGCATCTGATATTTTCAGGTTTTATAATCATTATGTTTTCTGTCAGCATAGCTGGAAAATTGCGTATTCAGAATAATACATTTATTCTTAAATGCAGAAATAGAGCAAATCCAATGGCATGGTAATTTAAGTAATTCTGTGAAACTAATTCATCTCCTTCACGATTTAATTAAAATAACAGTTTCCAGACTGAAGATCCACCCTTCTACTACTTGGCATATCTGTAAGAAGGCACAGTGCGTGATCCAGGTTCTTGCATTCCAACTAAAACCAAATTATTAGGAGAGAGGAAAAAAAAAAAAAAAGGATAAATAACCCTTGTTATACTGGATAGAAAAAGGATGTCAGCATTATGATTGATGTGGCTGTGGATATCTTGGAAATCTGGTTCCTTGTTTAGAAGCTTTCTCTCCAGACTACCCTTATTATTATTATTATTATTATTTTCCCCTTCTATTGTAGTTTTTCAGAATAGACTTGATATGAGTCCCTGTCTGCTCATGAGAATGAATGGAGAAATATTTAAGTCCAAAAATAGAACACACATGGTATTTTTATCCTGCTTTCTGAGTGAACCCATACCCTGGTACCAGAAATCATTCCCCAAGTAAAAATTTCATCAGTTTTTAACTGCTATTCATCCTAAACTCAGTGGTAAATGACCATGGTTTTGTGAACTTTCCCAAGAAAATATGAAAGGGAAGCATCAACTTCCTTGGATTATCCTGTTGAAGCACAAGTAATGAACAGATGTGCTATTCATACAGGTTGTGTAGAAGAACTGACTGAGGATAGGCTGTATTTTAGTCTGCTAAGTGTCTCATTAAAATACTGCCAGTCATATTCAAAAGAAGAGTACTTGAGCCAGATTCTTTGACAGGAGAGTCTTGCAGAGCCTATTTAGTAAAATATGAATAAAATATGAACTTCCTGAAGTGACACAACCGCTGGGAGAGAAAACTTGTTTGTGGAGGCAAGAATTCATTGCTCCTTTGGTACCTAAGGGTCTCTAGCACAACCAGAGTCGTGCAGTGAACATCTGGGAAGAAAGAGGGGGAAGTGCAAGTTCTGGATCATGTTCCAGCACCTCTGAAATGCTGTAGTGACCACAGTCTTTTCACTTGTTTATCCTGAGTTCCCACAGCATTTTGCTTGTTTTGAAAGGAGCCCCTGATTTTACAGGACTTTGTTGCCTTGAGAGGTTAATAGAAATAGTAGTGAAGCAGGCAAAGGAAAGTGCAGACGAGCAAAAAGAGAAGGTTCCAAGGGAAGTAGAATAACTCATGGTCTAGAAATGCAGTGAGTACTGAGCTGTAGCTCAGTCTTATTCTCTGCACAGATTACTGCAAGAAGGTGAGTGTTGGACTGAGGCCAGACCCTGCCAGTGTGAATTGAAACAACTGGGGGAAAGCATAAATTAATAATGGGCATAAAAAACCAAATGAAGCTCTGTAAATCTCATGTTCCCTTTGCATGAAAATGTGTTAAATTGCTGTGCATTTTTTCTGGCACTGTATACATAGCTAAGCAGTAATGTATATTTCTCATCTACCTCACTGTAAAACAGGACAAATCTGTGTGACAGGATACCTTAGAGATCCTTTAATATGATACAACATTACTATCAAAGATATTTTATATATACTTGTAGGCATTCTATTTTATATATCTATAAGTATTTTATAATACTTGAAGGTATTCTTTGTTCTACCAATAATATTATCCCTTATCAATATGAAGGAACAGAAGAAATGTAATAGCTCTTAAATAAAAAATGCTCTTTGAATACTACGAAAATACAAAGCTGAATGAAATGAGTCACAGTACTCATCTGCAAATGCTTAAAGCTTGTTTTTTGCTTTTAAATCAGTTAAAATTGGATCAAGTAAGACCTCTGAGCTAGATTGAAGTGCATGTTGTTATGTGATCCCTATTACATTAGAATGGAATTAAAAAGGCACAAAAAAGCTATTCTGCTTCTCCCATTCAGTTATGTGTGTATTATGTGTGCATAGCATCATACACCACAGTTTACTTATCTTTGCTCAAGAACATGCTTTAGCTATTAAAAATAAAAAGAACAATGCTCAAAAAGACCAAAGTGACTGGTCTGTTTCTACAGGTCTTTTTTACTCAGATGTCCGCTAAATTTTTCATTTTTATGAGATAATGACAAGACAGTGCATCTGAAATTCTGAAAGCAAAAGCTAAATAAGCCTTTATCTTTTGCCCCAAGTCCTTGGAATGTCTCAAAAAAGAAATAAAAGGGTGTTCAAATCCTACTGATAAAAAGCAACATAAGACTTGTTAGAGAATGAAGTGACTGAAGTCTGGAAAATGCCCCTAGAATTGAACTTTACTGATGCAGGAGTAAGTCTAGGTGCTCCTAAAGATTTGACAAGTTTACCTATGATAACTCTGGTATTTTTATGGTTTCATACATGTCCTTGTGCTTAAGTGATGGTAGGGGTTTGGTCCATGACTCTGGTATGCTCCTGTGCCAGATTACAGAAGAATCTGGGTTTTGTCCTGAAAATGAATTTATAGAATGTTTTAACTGCATGCAAGAGCACCCAAATTTTGGACTGCTTTTGTGCTGACAGGAGGCATCATATTTTAATGGCATTTGGCATGACATTAGGGATTTATCTATGTTTTTCACTTTACATATTAACTATGGAACTTGAAGTATTGTGATTATCAAAAAAACAGTTAGCTCTAAGTGCCATTTACATGTTTCACAGTACTGTTGGCAGGACTCGATGCCTGACACTCAGTATGTTTATTTTGCTGATCCTCCATGCTCCCCTATATAGTCACAGGTCACCTACTGACATGAGTGGGATTAAGGGTATGGGCAGTGACCGATGTAGGCAGCAGAGACAGGGAATTACATGGATAATGTGGGTTGTGCTGCTGGGGATCTAAAGGGAAATAATCACCAGGCTCTCTTGGTTTCTCTGTGGAGGAGGACCTAGGCAATGAAACAAATGCCCAACCCACTTGCTGCTCGTGTTGAATTTGTCTCCAGCTGCAAACACCTGGAGGAAAAGTGTCTGCTGTGGGCGCTACCTCTGATTTCTTCTCGATTCAGTCATTTCTTTCTCCATGAGGGGAAGCAGGAGTGCCTGCAGCGTGTACTGAGATGGTGGAGTTGGAGGTGTAGTGTCAGATATGTCCAAGCTGCATTTTCACGGCAGTCCCTCACAGAGAGTGGAATGTGCCACGGCTTTCTTTCCCAGGTGCAAAAGGAGCAGGCAGCTTGTACCCTGCTCGTGTTGCAGCAGGAAGAGGGAATTTGTTGCGGTGATTTGAGGCGTTAACTCTGCCAAATACACGACGGTACCCCCTAGTCATGAACACGGACCTACTTTCTGTTTAGGTACAGAATCAGGAGTGGAAGTTAATTTGGCTTCACTTGCGAGACGGCTGCAGGAGCCTGGCATTGCCGGGCAGGAGCAGAGGGAATGTTTGCTTTTACTGCTGGGTGGATTGGGGCCGAGCGAGGCAGCGCCGTGGAGCTGCGGGGAGCTCTTCTCTTTTTCTGGGAAATTTGATGCGGGCTTGGGTTTGGAATTCTCCGAGCGACCTCAGCAAAGCCTTTCGCTTCCTTCAGGGCACCCCCACGGGAGCAAAGTCCCGGGTCGGCAGCATTGCTCCGGGCCGACACTTCGGTCCGACAGCCGAGCCGAGCCGAGCCGAGCCGAGCCGAGCGCGGCGCAGTGCGGGCGGCGGCCGCCAGGGGCCGGCGGCGGGCCGGGAGCGGCGGCAGCGCCGGGCGGCGGCTCCGGAGCAACAGGGCCGGTTCGGAGCGCCGGGGGCGCGGTGCTGCGGGCTGGCCCGGTTCCCGGCTCTCAGCTCCCGGCTCCCGGCTCTCAGCTCCCGGCTCTCAGCTCCCGGCTGCCAGCAGCGCCCGCCCGCGGTCCGCGCTCCGGCCGGGGCTCCTCGGCCGCGTCCCCCCGAGCCGCACAACAAGTGTATGGAGCGGGCGGGAGCCGGCTGAACCCCGGACGTGTCGGGGGCAGGCGCCGCACGGAGCCACCCCCGTCCTGCCGCCGCTGGAGCACGGATTAGCCAGCGCTGATTTACAGATCTGCTGCCAGAGCCGGACTTGGAGAGACTGGTGATCGCGCCCGCCCCTTCATTCCACCTCACACACAACAAGCACACGCACACCGCCTTCGATTTTCCCTCTGGGGACGAGACCCTCGCTTGTTGCCTTGTCGCCAGTGCCGAGGCGAGCGGCGGTGGCGGTGCCGAGTGTCCCCAGCCCCAGCCGCCTGCCCGGCACCCCGAGAAGGGGCAGAAATAACTCGCCAACCTGTGGTGCGCACTGGCCACAGGCACCTGCGACTGTGGGTCAGCCGGCACAGCCCCCTCAGGACTGCTGGTCCTTACACTAGCGGGAACAGCGCTGCTATTTCTCTGCCTAGGATCAGTAAGTACAACAGCGTTTTTAGGATTTTCTTCTGCATGACACGTAGGTACGATTTTCAAAATAGTGTCATTTAATAGTTCGTGTTCACCTTCTCTCGTGTATTAATAGATGTGGCTATAAATGAGGCTTCTGTTTCAAAGGGGGGTGTGAGGGGCTGTGTATTTTTGTGTGTGTGCTTGCATGTAGATGTTGCTTCAGTGCACCTGCAGTTGTTTTCTTGACATATCACGGTATTTTCACTTGGCTGAACATTCTACGTGCCTGTTTCCAAATTAAATCCAGTGAGATGTTCATTGTGATCGAAACACAATTCTGCTGAAGATTAAAATGTAACGTTCCCGCATCTGATGTGCTCCTGCAAATAAAACAAAAGCTCTTTGTGTAGATACATTTGTTCTTTGATGTTTCGTATGGATGTACACATGTAGGTGTATCTCTTACGTATGTGCTCAGAGACCTGAATGCATTGTGTGTTGCAGTATTTTTATTAGTGTTTATATGTGTCGATGTTTCAGAAGCATGCATATGTTTGTGTATGGATGCAAGTGCTTATATGGGTGGGGATTTTGTATCTGTCTATATATATGTGACATACCCACCCACATCCTTACCCACAGAGTTGTTCAAAATCTCTGTGCATGTGATGTGGGTGTGTGTGTAATGTAGAAGTGTGAATAGTGTGGGCAGGAGAAGATTTGAATGCCATGGTAATAGATGACACAATTTCATTTGATCGGTGTGACCTTTTAGGAAAACAATCCAATCTTTTCCCTTTTTGTTTTGTTTATTTTTGTGTGTTTGTGCATGTGCCTCAGGTTAAGTGCTTCTTCTGCATGACCATAACCAAAGGGTGACCCATCTACTCCCTTATGTCCTATGGGGACCTCAGAGCCAGTTTCTCAATCTTCATCTCCTCCTCCTCCTCCTTCTCCTCCTCCTCCTCTTACCACTGCTGCTGATGCCTTGGGTGCTGCTCCCAGGTTTGAGACAGGCTGAAGAAAGCATTTGCAAAGACCTCCTCACTGTGTAAATTAAATGATGGCTGGAATTAACTTCAACTCTCCAAGTAATGATATTAAACAGTAAGTTTGCTAGGCCAAAGCATTATCAGGAACAAATAATGAGGAAAAAGACTATTTTCATTTGGTTTCAATGATGAGCTAAAACCATCTGTGGAGAACAGGTACCCTTTGGTTTGCATATTTTTTTTTTCCTGAGGAATGCAGCCTTTATAGCCTGTAAGGCAGTCATGATTCTGATCAGATACAGCTGTGATTGCTGCAGGAGATAAATGAAAATAAAGGGGCTTGCTGGATGGAAGAACAAGGTCTCAGCTGTTCTCTGGTTCAATTGGAGAATTTCATCTTTTCTCATTAGCAGAACAGTAGTTTGTGTCAAACATTCTGGAGAGCAAGAAAATGAGGCTCTATGGTTTCCCAAAATACAGATTCAGTGTTACAACCACGTTGCCCTACTCAATGCCCAGGTGACCGTCCTCCAGATGCAAATGGATTTGAACTTTCCAGTGAAAGTTAAGGTGACACTGTAAATAAAACAAAACCTCATTACAGTAAGAGCTTAGAACAAACAAACAAACAAAAAGCAGCTGCAAAATGGAGGTGGCGATGGTGAGCGCAGACAGCTCTGGGTGCAACACCCACATGCCCTACGGATACGCGGCCCAGGCGCGGGCCCGGGAGCGAGAGCGGCTGGCGCAGTCCAGGGCTGCTGCGGCCGCGGCGGTGGCGGCGGCTACGGCGGCGGTGGAAGGTGGGGCGGCAGGTGGAGGAGGACCCTACCACCACTACCATCAGGAGCAGAGTCGCGGGGCGTCCTCCTCGCACGGTGGGAGCGCCTCGCGCGGCAGCCTGCCCCACCGCCAGAGTGGTAAGAGGAGGAAGAAGGGGAAAAAGAGGAGCCACCACTTGGGAAGCAGGGAGTGTGGGGCCTCCTTCCCCTGTTCTGAGCTGCTGCCGCTCAGTGGTTCTGAGGAGAGGATACTGAAGGACTTGAGTGAGGAGGAAGAGGAGGATGAAGATGAGGATGAAGACGACGAGGAAGAAGGAAAGCTCTACTACAGTGATGACTATGGGGAGGATGAGTTTTCATACTCGGACCAGCCACCCGATGATGGTGGAGGCCCCGGGGGTTACAGCTCCGTCCGCTACAGCGAGTACGAGTGCTGTGAGCGCGTGGTGATCAACGTGTCGGGACTGCGGTTTGAGACCCAGCTGAAGACGTTAGCTCAGTTCCCGGAGACACTGCTGGGGGATCCAGCCAAGCGGGGGAGATACTTTGATCCTCTCAGGAACGAGTACTTCTTTGATAGGAACCGACCCAGCTTCGATGCCATCCTGTACTACTACCAGAGCGGCGGTCGGCTGAAGAGGCCGGTCAACGTGCCCTTTGACATCTTCTCTGAGGAGGTGAAGTTCTACCAACTTGGGGAGGAGGCCATGCTCAAGTTCAGGGAGGATGAAGGTTTTGTCAAAGAGGAAGAAGAAAAGGTTTTGCCGGAGAATGAGTTTAAGAGGCAGGTTTGGCTGCTGTTTGAGTACCCGGAAAGCTCCAGTCCAGCCAGAGGCATTGCCATTGTCTCTGTCTTGGTCATCTTGATCTCCATCGTCATCTTCTGTCTGGAGACTTTACCAGAGTTCAGAGATGACAAAGAATTCGTCATGTCCCTGAGCTTAGGGAAGGGGCTTTCCAATGAGTCTCTTCGCCTGGATGCTGGGGAGCACACCATCTTCAATGACCCTTTTTTCATTGTAGAGACTGTATGCATCATTTGGTTCTCCTTTGAGTTTACAGTGCGCTGCTTTGCATGTCCGAGCAAAGCACACTTCTTCAAGAACGTCATGAACATCATAGACATTGTGTCCATCTTGCCTTACTTCATCACCCTGGGCACGGACCTGGCGCAGGAGCAGGGCAGTCAGCAGGCCATGTCTTTTGCCATCCTAAGGATCATCCGTCTGGTCAGGGTGTTTCGCATCTTCAAGCTCTCCAGGCACTCCAAGGGTTTGCAGATCCTGGGTCACACGCTCAGGGCCAGCATGAGGGAACTTGGCCTCCTCATCTTTTTTCTTTTTATCGGAGTAATTTTGTTTTCCAGTGCTGTTTACTTCGCAGAAGCTGACGAGCCTGCCACCCATTTTCAAAGCATCCCAGATGCCTTTTGGTGGGCTGTGGTGACCATGACTACAGTCGGTTATGGGGACATGAAACCCATAACTGTGGGTGGGAAAATAGTCGGGTCCCTGTGTGCCATTGCAGGAGTGTTAACCATTGCTTTACCAGTGCCAGTGATTGTCTCCAATTTTAACTATTTCTACCATAGAGAAACTGAGAATGAAGAACACACGCAGATGATGCAAAATGCGGTCAGTTGCCCTTACCTCCCAACAAATTTACTGAAGAAATTTAGAAGCTCATCATCTTCATCTACAGAGGATAAATCAGAGTATTTGGAGATGGAAGAAGGAGTTAAAGAATCTCTTTGTGTAAAGGAGACTAAAAGTCAGGACACGGGGAATAGCAGTGAGTCAGAGAAGAAAAACTGTGTAAATTCAAATTCTGTGGAAACTGATGTGTAATTTTGAGCGTTTCCAAATATATTTATGCATTAAAGAGTGCAGTGAAAATAATGAAATATGCAAACAAAAGTCTGCAGCATACAGTAGTATGCCATTTAATGGTTAAATACAAATAAAAAGCATTGCTAAACATGTATTGCATATCAAGTAAGTGGTACAATTTGAGGAAAGGATTGCTAGATCTGATCCATTTTCAGCCTTTATATTTTTATTAGAATGCAAGTGTTTTGCACATCAGGCTGAGGAATTTATTAAAAGCAAGTCAGTTTTAAAGTGGGTGCATGAACTGTCGACATCACTAATAACAGCTCTGTGGTAAAAGTTGGCATTCAGAGGTATTTACTATGTAAGAAACAATGAAGTTTGGTAGTCATTTATCTATTTATCAGTGCTTTAATAGCAGCTACCATAAATCATTGGATACCATAGTCATTGTTTTTCAAATGGTAAATTTATTGTAAAAAGATATTCTACAGAAGATAGATCTAAATTTTTTTTTTTTCTTGAAATCTATAATGCTTGTTTTTAACTGGAAATTTACTTTGAAAAGGCTGTTGACCCTCCAGAAATTGTTTATTTTTATAACTCTCTTTGGAGGCATTGCAGCATTTGTTGTCTAATAATGAAAGAAATGAGGTAAGAGAATTGTTAAACCTGGTCTGACTGCAAAGGCAAAATGACTGGAATGCTTTTTTGCACTACTTTATATGCTGGAGATATATTGAAAGAGACTTCATACTGTGAATGTTTACTAATGTAATAGTTCAATGACAATCATTGGAAGAGTGAATTCTGCATCATATTTTATTGTTTCTTCTTTCTCTGTGATGCTGATGGCAAAACAGCTGATATTACATTAATTCCATACTCTTTTTAATTATGAATATCTGTGATCTGGAAAAGGATTGTGAAGTAAAATTTTCTAATCAAAATTATTTGAAATCGGTGTTTTCTACTGATGCCCTCAAGAAGTATGAACCTAATTTATATCTTTTTTTTTTCTGCTTAATTTAGCATTCAGAGTCTATGATTAGTACATGCACTTTGTCAGTATTGAGGAAATTTGGTGTATGGGAGGAGAAGGTAGAAGTAATAAGATACTCAGTTGTTACAGTACTGACAATTGAGGATTGCTGACTTTTAGTAATGTACTATTATTGGTGCTGCATTTCCCCCTGATTACAGCTTTCACCCATGTATATTTGAAGCAACATTTAAGATCTAAAATAGTCATTTTAAGCTTCAAAATGAACGTATTGGGTCCCATGGAGTCCTTGTGAAAACATTCCATGGTTTCTTTTCACTGATTCTTGGCTATGTTTTGTGTCAAAACCTCCCACTGCCCTTCCTAGGAGGTTCAGGTAGGTAAAGATTACCTGACCTGCAGTATATTCCAGAGTCCAGAATGAGATAGGTAAGATATTGCTGCATACAACATAAATAATAGATTCAGAACAAGTTTGTTTTTTTTTTTTTTTTCTTTTTCTTTTTTTTTTTCAGATTTACCATTACCAAGGGAAGGCACAATTAAACTGTAACTGTTTTTGGAGAGGCACTGTGGAACATTCCAGATTATAAAACTTGAACCAAATTGGCATATGCACTTTAAGGTCTGGGACAGGCTATTATGGGAGAAAAAAGGACTTACCAACACTATGGGATTACAGTAATTTTCAGTATTCATTTAAAGCTGAGTAGAGGGTTTTTGCAGGGAGCAGAACTTGTTAGTGACTGACTTACAGCAACAAAAAAAAGCACTCTGAATTGGGCATCCATGATATTACACATGATCCATCAGATAAGCCTTGTTTGCTGAATCCAGTGGCACCAAACAGAGCTGCAGACATAGGCTTCTCTTTAATGGTTGGGTTTTGCCTTCATAGTTTTTCTGTGAGTCTCTTCGAAAAGTTTCTCTGCTTGTCTTCTTTTGCATTGCAGAAAAATAAAAAAAAAAAAGACACACACAAAAGACTGCGTTGTGCTGAGCCCTGCTTCAAAATGTGTGTTTAAGTGTCTGACTCCTAATTTGAAAACATTGAGAAGGCTTCACTGTATTTTTGATGTGAAGCATTAAAAAGAGCTCCTTTTTATTGTGGTGGTGTTAATTCCAACTGTGTTTTGAACGAAGTGACTTGGTAATTTTATACATAGGCATTTGCCAAAATTTAATATTACATTTCACTCTAGCTGACCCGAGTTAAATGTGCTAAATACTTTCTTTTTCTACAGGGGCAATATCAGTAGTGAGGGTGAGTGTTCTGTAAAACCCAGTAAAATTGTGTAACTGGAAGTATTTCTTTCACAGATAGGAGTTAATGGCCTAAAGGGCATGAGGGTTCTGTTCCTGAATGGTTTGGTACCAGTTCTGTCTGACACCAGAGACCATTTAGTGCCTGGGACCATGGCAGCGAGGCAGGAGTGAAAGAAATACTAACTAGGTAAATAAAGAACTTAGAGAAAATGAGTAGTATGTGTTTGCAGTGTTGACTGGTTGAAAGGGGAGGGGGTTCCTAAGAGGTGGGTTTTCAGACCTCTGATGGAAACAGGAAAACTCTTTCAATCACTTTTAAAGCACATTCATACAGTAGACATGGAGCTCAGCATGAGGGGAGTGGTGCAGCCTGTTCAGCTGCTCTGCTCCCTGTACATACCCTTTTCATTTAAAACAAGCTGGCAGTGCCCGTGCTGTGCTGTTTCCAGAGCAGTACCTTGCTCTCAGAAGGAAAAGGTCTGGCTGTAGGGCCTCATAGCAGCTGGCACAGCAGCATTTTGGCTGTGTCAGCCCTCCACACTGCAGTGCTGTGGAGGGGCATCCTCAGGTAATGCCTCCTGCAGTGAATAAACCTCTGCACTTGGTCACGATAAATACAAACTATAGAGCTCCATGCTATCAGTTTGGCAGAGCGTTCTGAATCACAGAAAGTATTGTGCATTCCAGAGTGGAAGCAAACAGCTGTACTTGGGTTTATTCAGCTATCTACTGGTCCAGTCACAGCATAGTTTTAACATGCTAGAGTCCTACCACTAACATGCTAAAACCCAAAGATCTCAAGTGCTTTACAAGAAATAGAAATTTGTGTTAAGTATTACTTTGGTTGAAATTGTGTGCCACAGAAACCCTCTGACTGAGCTGTTGTGGCTCCAAATTATTACTCCTGCCTCTGTCAGACCTTTCCCAGTGATACTGACAACTCTTGAAAAATAATTTTATTGTGACTTGGGCATTTTACATTTTAAATTACAGCGGTGAAATGCATTCCTGATGTAGCTGATGTGAATGGATTTTCACCTGGGATCATTTTTGTTCTACTAATGTAGTTCAAATGATTTCACATTGACATACATTTCAGCTAAAAATAATGCAAAACGAGATATTTCAGGTTCACTTGCAGTGGTGAAAAAATTTGGAGGAGTTCCATTAGAATTCATGGAAACACAGCAGCACCAAATCTGATTTCAAATATAGTCTGATACTTAACAGTGTGCTGGCATTTATTTTAAGAATTTCCTAAGTATTTTTGTAGTAATCTTAAGTGCCAAGGCCAGACTCATAAGGAGAGAGTTTTGCCAGCTGAAGTGTTGGATTTAATGGCTGACTTCAGAGATCCATAAATTTTTTCTTCATTACATTTCTGATGTTACATTGATTCCTTGAAAACATCAGCCTGGGTGCTGAACTTTATACCAAAAGTGTTGTGTAACCCAGTTAGAGTGAAGGTTTTTAGTGTTCAGTTAAGCTTTCTAGAATGATTCCACAACAGGCTATTTCCATTTGATGGAAAATATAATTTGTTTGTATTTGAAGAAAAATTCTTCTGCTTACATAGGTTTTCATGTGGACAGTCCACCTCTGTGGTGTTCATGTAATGCAGAATAAATTTGGAAGATTCAGGGGATAAAAATCCCCTGTGATTGTGATTACATCTAATTCATGACAAATTCATGACAATAGTGTTCCTTGGTGCTTGGGGATGTTATTAGGCATTCTTGTGGTCATAAAAATTGGGATTTGAGTGTATTTTCCATCTGTAAAGCTTTTCAGATAGCTTTGGAATGTGAAAATGCTTTTGACAATACTGGTGTGGGAAGAGTTTGGGATCTGGCCATAACCTTGAATAAAGGATCTTAGAGTGTAACTCCTGACATGGATGATTCCTATCAAGTTTTCTTTCAGGTGTTGAGAATCTTGGGATTTGAAAATCCAGTGCTGAGCTGCCCAAGAACATGAGGTACTTCCTACTTGCATAAGTGTTAGATAAATGTGCTGTGGAAAACCAGCAAAATATCAGAAAGTCTATTCTCTTTCTAGCTAGTTCCTGAAAAGTCTTTCTTGCACAGCACTGAAAAATGGAGTGTGTCTTTCTGGCCATCCTGGTTGCATAAAATGAATTCTGAATACCAATTAATTTTTAGCATAATCTTTAACTTTATAAATAATCCTCAAATTAAATATTATCTATCCGTTGTGTCACTGGCTTCCTCTATTTTTTACTGGTTGTTTTTTACTTTTTACTGTCATTGCACCCAGTTATAAATACATAAGTAAATATTTAAAAAAATTTGAATTGACATGAGAAAATAAGAAACAAAAAAAAAATAAATTAAAAAATCCCCAACTATAGTATCCAGCATATAAGTTATGTATTTTTCTTATAATCAAATAATCTAAATAACAGAATAACTTCTGTAGACATGGGACAGGGTATATACTTTCCTCTTGCTATAACTGATCAAGTGCTTCAGATATTGCAGTGAATAAGATCTAATTGACAGATTTATCATATTTTGCACCTCCATTTGAAACAAATACATATAGAAAATTAGCACTTGTAAAAATGAACAACTTTAATTTCCACAAAGACTATCTAATGTGGACAGAGTGACTGACAGATTAATTCTAGGTTAAAGTGCATAAATATTTTGTATCTGACACCCAGGTACTCTACATATTGCTGCCGTGCTTTCTGTGTGTTCAGAATTCTGAAGGAAAACTCATTAAAGTATTATGTATTGAGATGGTTGAATTAATTCTTGTTTTTAATCATTTTCTGAACAATTATAATGTGCCTGGAGACCTTTTTCTGCAATAGGCCCTTTGGAAAATAAATATATAAATATACAAGAAGGGAAGAAGAGAAATCTTACATTACATGTAAAAAAATCTCATAGAACATGCTAATTGAGAGATAGTAGGTAAGTAAAAACTACTTTTATTTCCTTTTATTTCAGCTGTGCATTTATGGTGCTGCCAGTCCAACCAAAGTGGTTGAAACTGATCTGCAGCTGCAGAGAGGTGCTTCATGTGTTGTTTCTCTTCCAGGTTCCCTGGTCTCAGGAGCAGCAGCAGCTGGGAGGATGCTCCTTGTGCTGGGCAGCACCAAATGGGGTGGGACAGAGTCCTGGAGGTTTTTATCCTGTCTGGTAAATCCATGCTTCTACCACAAGTATCCTGCTGAGTGCAAAGTGTTCCATTGTTTGCTTGGTAATACCACACAACCTTCCCAGACAGGGAGGCCTCAAAGACTCCAGTCTGCCAGTTCCTGAAAAAGGGTCTCAGCTCTGCATTCCCAAAATGTACTTTCCAATACCTGAATTCACTTTTTTTCTTAAGGAACTGGGCTGTAAAATGCTTCCTGAATTGAGGAACAAGCCTTAAGGTCAGAAGGGTCATTGTGGTGGAGCAGGTTTCCCAGATGTTGCAGCTGTAACACGAGGGAGTGTAGGAAGGGACAGCACATATTCAAGAGGGATTTTGGTGTCTGTTTTTCATTTCTTACTCAAATGTGTCTGAGGCATTTGTGTTCAGAGTAAGGGAGGAGGATGGATGGAGTCAGTGAGGCATGTCAAAGGCATCTTTTTTTCTCTCCTTAGCAGTCAGAATAAACTAAGTTAGGGTGTGTGTTTTTATGGTGTTTTTTGGCTTGTTTTTTATTTTTTATTTTTTGGGTTTTTTTTTGTTTTAAACTATTGTTAAAAATTGTTAAGTAATTGACTAAGTAACTATTGTTACTTATTACACTTTTTATAAAGGCCGTTTCAGTGGGACAATGTACACTGAATCTGAAACCATCATCCTGGACATGAATGGTTTCCATTCAGAAAATCAACTGAGACGTATTCAGTATCACTCCTGTCCTTCTCTTTTGTTCCAGGTGTGTTGGCTTTGGGTCAAATGCTCTTGCACTGAAGTCTTGCAGAGTTTGGCAGCACCTGGCCCTGCCATGTAGGAGAAAATCAGCTTTCCTTTTTGGATTTATGTTGGTGAGATATTGATGCAGAATTTTGCTGTTGAGGAGGGATGCTCCAGGGTGCTTCCCTGAGTGTGTTTGTCCTCATTGCCAGGGAGCAGCACCCCATGATATGCTTTGGAAAGAAATCCAACCACGTGCACAGAGGGACTCTGTTCCCTTTTTTGCTCTGCCTTGTGTAATCCAAGGACATTTCTGGGTGCACT